AGAGAGAGAGAGAGAGAGAGAGAGAGAGAGAGAGAGAGAGAGAGAGAGAGAGAGAGAGAGAGAGAAAGTCACATGGAGTCTTAGTGTTAATTTCCAATTACCTTCCTGGCCACTCCAAATGAATTTTAACAGCCTAAGCTTTTCCTGGGACATTTTTCCTTTGAACTCCCAGACTTCCCTTCATTGCAAGTTGTAATATGAACCAGATTTTTTCCTTGCTCTTGTTTGCTTAAAAGGCGTTAACTATAAATTAGAGTGTCTGAAGAGCGAGGTGTCACTCGTGGGGCCTGGGCTCCTCGGGCCCTGTAGCCTCATGGCTGGGAGAAAGGCCAGGCTGCCTCGCTCTTTGGCAGCCAGGCTCCCAGGCCCATGCCAGGGATGATTCCTCCTCCCTTTCAAAGCTATCCAGTTACATCAACATACTAACTGCCTTGTTTGAATTGAGCGTTAAACCATATCCCTTTATTTTTTTTCCCCCAAACTCCTGTCCTAGAGGAGCAGGAGAAGGAAGTGTTTTAAATGAACACTTCTGCTGAGTTTTTTTCCCACTCAATGCTTCTGTTCTAATGAACCTTCACACTATCTATTTTTTCCTTGGTGTGTATGTGTGTGTGTGTGTGTGTCTTGTATGCACATGTGTGTGTCCAGGTGCACATGCCCATGCATGTGTGGGGAGGACAGAGAACGATGGATGTGCTGTTCTGCTAGTATTTTCCTTTATCCCTTGAGTCAGGGTCTCTTACTGAACCTTAAGCTAGGCTGGTGGGCCAGAAGCCCCAGGAATCCTCCTGTATCTGCTCCCAACGGTACTGTGGTTCATGGTAAGTGTATGGCCATATCTGGCTTTTTCACATGGATGCTGCAGGTTTGAACTCAGGTCTTTGTACTTGCAAGCAAGTGTTCTTGCTCACTGAGCCACTGTCCCAACCCTAGTGACAATTATTAAAATGTGTGTATCCATTAGAGTCTCATGGGAGAAACCTCAATGGCACATACTTCCCTCTTTCAGGATCAGGAAAATAGTCATCAACATATAGACAATACGGTAATGTAGCCTGGCTTTGTTTTTATGGTACCCAAGCTCATAGCTGTCACTCAATTCAAAATACAGGAAACGGTCACTGGTAGCAGGAATGATCAGTGGGTGTGAGTGGGTGAGAAAGAAAGCAGATTTCTGGTATATTCTCTTTCTTTTATAATTTCTGTGTCTAGAGTCACAGAGGCCATGGCTGGGATAAATGAGATGAGCACACAGGGGATGCTCAGAGCCATGGGCGTACTCCACAACACCGAACCATCTGGCCAGCAAGAGCCCACAGACAAGGGCGGGGCCAACACCCTTCCTCTGGGGTCAAAGTGTTGTGAGGTTTCCTGGTATACTCTGACTCACCCCAATTCCACCCAGGGGAGCAGATGGAGATCTGGAAGGGAAGGACCCCCTGCCCCGCCCCCGAGAAAGTGGAGTCTTTCCCCGAGAGAGTAGAGTTTTTCCAAGAGTCTCACAGTCAGAAACTGACAACTGACTTAAAGAAGAAATGCTATTCCTGCCTCGTGCTCATGTCACATCTGTCAGGTAGACACAGGCGCTATGAGCGGCTCAGCTCACTTACAAACATGCGCTGTGTTATAAACTCCAATGTGTGGCAAATTCACACCTCCCACACTACCTGCGGAGGAAGAAGGACTAATTCCAGGTTGCAGATGTCCTGGGACCAGAAACCACTTGTCCACATGGGAGCAAAGTTGGATGTGAATGCGAATGCTGTGGGTCCCGGCTCAATGCTTCCTGAGGGTCGTATTCTGCTATACCCGTTTCCCTGTGCAGGCACACTCTGCTGGGTGGGAATGAGAGCAACGATGGGTCTCCAGCTGCCTCCTGCAGGGCACTGGCAGCGTGAGCCTCCACTTGGCTCCCACTGCTGTTGTTTGGTGGAACTTGAAGCCCTACGACTACGCATCTTCAGTGTCACCGCAGTGGTGACAGGCCCACTCTCCCCCTGAGTTTTCAGATGAGCTGCTGGATTTATTTGTCTCAAGTCCAAATCCTCCTTCCCTTCTTCCTGCCTTTGATTTCATCTGGATTTAATTAACATAACTCCCTTGGGCTACTCACTTCCACGCTTGAGGACTGTCCCATATCAGCGCTCCAATCCACTCTTTGCACCGTGGTATCACGTTGATGCTGTGCGTAGCTTCTCTTTCTACTTTAAATCTTAAGTGATTTTTTCCCTGTCTAAATGCCTTTATGAAATGTGGTGGAAGCTGACCACAGAATTAGGTGAAGACTGGCTTCTTTTTTATGAGACAGGTTCTTGTGTATCCCGGGCTGGCCCTGCACTGCTTACTTAGTTAAGGATGATCTCAAACTCCAGATTCTTTCGTAGCTAATTGTATGTATTACCACCACATCCTGTTCGTGGAGCACCCGAGACTGAACCCAGGGCTTTGTGCATGTTAGGCAACTATTCTACCAGCGAGTGACATCCCCAGCTTGCCTAGTGGATCTTACAGATGCGGGATGATGTTCCCAAGACCTGCTTCTCACTTTCTAGTCATTTCTGTTTGGGGTGCAAACCAAATCCTCCCAATAAAGCCTTATTTCAAACACACCAGCTCAGCCTGAGCCTCGGTTCTCCAGTCAAACTTCATGTCTTGCTTTGGTCCCATTGCATTTTACAATCTGGTTATCTGGCTTAGAAAGAGATAATTTACACTACTGACTGCTGGGACTATCATGTCAGAACATGGTGAAAATAATAGCCTACTTATCTTTTCTAGTTTCAGTGTGGCAGACAAACGGGACTACCTGTCTTCATCGTGACTTTATAATGTAGATCTGCTGTAGCCAACCTGTTTTTCTAAAGCACAGAGACGCTAATTACCCTGTGTAAGACTGCAAAGTTGTAGGGACAAGACCTAGACTGGCACATACATCTCTCTTGCTCCAGTTGTTACTGAACTGTCACATAGAAGCAGTGTCCAACATAGCCCCCACAATTACATATCTTTAGTATTGGATAATAGAGTGTTTAGGTTGAAGAGAAATTTAAAAGCCAACCCCTTAATGGCTAACAATATATATGCCCTCACCATCTGGATAGCTAAGTCCTGATGTGATAACTAGTCTCTTCCGTGATGACCATGTCAGGGTATGTGGCAGATGGAATAGGGTTCTCTGAGTGTGTTGGGTAATGCTGAGTCCCTAGAGGAAGAACCAGCCACTCAGTCCTGGTTTGCCTGCATGGCTGCATCGAGGGAGAATGGAGTATACACAATCATTGGGTGTGTTTATAGGCAGTACTCGGTTTTCAGCTCCTCTCCTTTAACCAAACCATTCACCTAGACACACCTGTGGTGAACTAACATTGAACTTTTCACCACCTTTATTTAAAAATTTGTGAGTTTCTTCTAGGCAGTTATAAGTTATCCACGTATGAGTTCCAATGTGTGAGCGCCATCTAGTGTGAGTGGAGGGAACTGCAGGTCGCTGTGGGCAAAGTCAGGTTTTAAGAATTACACATGTAGAGAAAGCAGGAAGGACGACCACTGACACCCCATGATCCGACTGTATATAGCAAAGAAGGTAACTGTGATTTTTTTGTTTTTGAAGACTATTTCATGTAAGGACAATAAGTTTAAAAATCCAATTTTTATGATTGCAAGTTGTTTTTTTTCTTTTTTTTTTTTTTGTATGCACTAAAATCATTCATTCCCCAAATGGTGCATTAGTCCTATTGGAAGTTAAAGCTATTTCCTCAATGATCTATGCCACAAAAATAACTGATTTTTGTTTTGGGCAAATGACATCTCCCAGGATCCCAGTCTTCCGAATGTGTCGTCTATATTCTTAGAGCAGTGGCTAACCTAGTTAGCTGTCATCTTGAGATCTGACCAGGAGGATCATCTAAAAGCACAGAGACTCTTATGCCAATGGAGTTGATGGGGTCACAATGTGGGCATACATAGGGTGGCATACCTGTGCTGGACAGACGGTTGTGGGGCTACGTAGGAGTACCTGTTAAGAAATGAGTGCACTGTATGAGGGCAGGCAAGTCCTGTCGCTTCCCAAGGCAGAACTGTGCATGATCACCATTCAAACGCATCTTCCATGCGAAGACTGCGCTGACTCACTGCGACAGACAGCGGGAGCATCAAAGATGAGCAAGACAAGTTTGCTTCCAAGGTTAAGGTGTTTCTGGGCATCCACGGGAGACAGACATGTACATTTAAAAATAGAGACTGACAGGTATTAGCAGGCATGGTGGTTTACACCTGTAACCCCAATGCTTGAGCAGCCGAGGCAAAAGCATCAGGAGTTCAAGGATCGCCTGGACCACATAGTAAGATTGTTATTTCAAAGGGTGGGGAGGGGGAAAGTCTCTTGTCAGGAGCAGAAACTCAAGGTGGGAATAAATATTAGGAACTAGGATTTGATGGCGGGCAGTGAGGAGTTCTGAGTCGGTGTGTAGAAGGGAATCACCAAGTCTGGAGCCCAGGAAAGGGTGAAGTCTGGATCGCAGAGGACACACTGATTCTCTGGCTACATTTCTGTTCTGGTTTGTTAGATTTTCGGTTGAGTTCTTCAGAACTCCTGACTTGTGGCATCTTTGCAGCAAAGGGATGCAGGGCTGATCTTGCCCAAGCCCATGCTTAGCAGAGACATCCCCACCTCCGCACCAACCTAGCCAGTCTGTCAGTCTGCCTCACTCAGCCTGGACACTCACTGGTACCCACCACACTGTCCTGTGTGGCTAGTCACTGTGCATTTACAGTGTATTGACACTGCTTTGAAAAGGAAGGCATCACCACACAGGAGAGGCCATTCCTCGTATTTGTGGTAATATCTTGCTTGTACAAAAAAAAGTGTGTCTGAAGATCAGAGAATGGAGCTTGCCACTAGCTAACCATAGATGTCTGGAGGTCTGTACAGACAGGCAGGAAGTGAGATGGCTGGACAGAGAAAGGAAGTGAGATGGCTGGGTAGAGAGAAGACATAAGCAGGAAGAAACAGGAACGTCCTCTCTTTTCTGCTGGGAAGCTAATGAGCTAAAGGTAGCTTTGGCTTCCTCCTCCTTCTCTCTGATCTCTCAGTGTTTTTCTTTATATCTGACTCTGGGTTTTTATTATTTAGGCCAATTAAGAACTCCATTTACATATATTTCTTAAGACTTTTTTCCCTCCTTTTGAGACACCAGCTCATTCATGTAGCCTAGGTTGGAGGATGACCTTGAACTTCTGGCCCTCCTGGCTCCACCTCCGTAGTGCTGGGCTTACAGGTGTCCACTGCTATGCAATGCTAGGAATGCTTCCTGCATACCCGACAAGCATTTTCTCCAGCGTGCTGCAGCTCTGCCGTGTTAGCATTTTTCTGTATTGGCTAAAGATCAAAGCCTTGAGCTTTGGGGATTATGGGATTGTCAGATTCCAAGTTGGCAGGAAGTACCTGTCTTTCCCTCTAGCATTTACCTCAGACCTTCTTCTTTTCCAAGCAAACAACTAAGCAAGCCTTTGAAGAACATCTTTTACATATCTTTAAATTTTTTTGAAATCTCACTTACTCATTGTATTTGAATTCAACACAGAGTATGCTAGCTAAGCAGCGTATGCTTCAGAGTGAATGGGGAGAACATGGCTTTAGATATACTTTTTTTTTCCTAATGCCTTTCAAAAAGGCACATAGTGTAAGCCTTTAAAATGGAAAAAAAAATTTAGATGGTGTAGTTCTGAGAGCCGCCAGCAGGAGGCCTGAACAGTGATCACATGCATGCAAGGGCTGGGTGGTGCTTTACACCATTTTTTCTTTTCTTTTGCTTTCTTTCTTCTTCCTTGAGAACCGAAGGGCATTTCCTTCTAGCAAAAGTCAGCGTTGCCCCTTCCCTAACCCAATTAATGGCCAAGCAGCACCAGGAGTCCGCTTGCACATAAACGAATGTTTTTCTGTTTATTACAGGTAGGACCCCGATTGGTCAGCTGGACAGTCTGGGTCAAGAGGCCGTTGGGCAGGAGGGACAGCTCCACTCGCCTTCTTGTTCTGAACAGTATGTATGAGAACCCAGGGAAGTCAGACAAGAAAGAGGGAGGGAACACAGGACAGGTGTCAACCACCCTCCACTAAAGAAATACTTCAAAGAGGGAGGAGCAATAATATGAGCAAAGGGGTCAAGACCATTTGGGGGATACCCACAGAGACAGCTGACCTGAGCTAGTGAGAGCTCACTGACTCCAGACTGACAGCTGGGGAACCTGCATGGGACCAAACTGGGCCCTCTGAATGTGGGTAACCGTTGTATGGCTCAGGCAGTCTGTGAGGCCACCGGACCAAGATTTAACCCTAGTGCTTGAGCTGGCTTTTTGGAGCCCATTCTCTTTGGAGGGACACCTTGCTCAGCCTAGATATGGGTGGAGGGCCTCGGTCCTGCCTCAAAGAGATGTGCCAGACTGCCTTGACTCCCCATGGAAAGGAAGCCTTACCCTCTCTGAGGAGTGGATGGAGTGGGGTGGGGGAAGGTGAGTGGGAACTGAGATTGGTGTGTAAAATGAGAAAGATTGTTTTAAAATAAAAATCATGTCTAAAAATAATAAATTTACCATCATAAAAAAGAATTCAGTAAGAAAAATGGAAAATCTTCTGCTTTCCCCATCCACTGCTGTACTTTGAAAGACTTCGGATCTAAAGAAAGAGTGTAGGAGAAAATTTGGCCCAGATTGGGTTAACATGGGCTTCCCTGTCTCTGCCCCCTGAATTTCCTGCATATTAATTGAGTCTACCAACAGTTTCCACGTACTAGTCATTTCTTTCAACAGTTCTTAAGCTCTCAAGGTCAAGGTTCTGTCCTCAAACTCATCACCGTGCTTGGGTGTCTGAAAGACGTGATGGACCAGTGAGGGGGGATTGGAGAAGCTGAGGAGCTGATGCTGCACAGACAGGCTACCTGTGTGAAGATGAAGGCGGGGCACCTCTAAGCAGAGGGGCCGGCTGCCAGGAAGGCAGAAGGATCAGATCAGCCCTCTGTTTCCAACCCCACCCTCCAGAGAGTAACTAGGGTCAGACAAGGTGCCAAGGGTCTCACCTGTGTCTTCTGGTTTAGCCTTCACAACCCTGTAGGGCCAGCACTATGAGCACCCCACTTTATAGAAGTGAGAAGTGAGGCTCAGAGCAGTTAAGTGACATAATGGAGGAGACCCAGCCTGGGAAGGGTAGCTGAGTAATCCCTACTGAATATCACTCTATTGTCTCAGGCCAGGTAGAACACTCCCCAGGGCTGCTCAAGTCTTCCATCTAAATGCTATCCCCCCCTCCCCACCACAGCCTCCCCTACTCCAGAGACTTAGAAGCAGGTGGTTCTCTTTATCTGCGTCCCACACATTCTTTATTTCTTCTTACAGCATGAAGTGGTTCCTGGGGCTCTCTGACCGTAGAATCCAGTCACAATGCCCAGGACAATGTCCATACACAGCCACCACTGTCACTGCTACCCACACAGATGAGCCTGGACATATTCTCATGCTGATCCCAACCCTTCACTTGGCAAACAATCACCTTTAATTCTCGGGAAATTGTATGCAGCATTGTCAGCCTCCCAAGTTTACATATTGATTCTCAGAGGCATGTGTGACCCACTCAATGCACTTGAATAGTATGTTTATGCCCATATCTTGTTGGGGAAGTGCTAACATAAGGCTGATCTTAAACAAACAAACAAACCCTTAACTTGATAATTTAGAATTAAGTTTGGGCAACAGTTTATTTCTACGTATACAGTGTTTGGGTGCTGTTTAAAGCTCTTGGTGTTGTCATGATGAGAAAATTCACTCTTCTGGTTCAATTGTCCCCAGATCTTAGCCTCAGAACTTGTTCCATTTACTTCATTTTGTTCTATTTAGTCTATTGCCATCTCTCAATGAAAACAGTAATTTATTTATGGGTTGTTTTAAAGGACATGCCCTGCAATTTCATTCGTGGCCACTAGATGTCACTATCAATCAGTTCTAGAAAAATTCATGCTCCAATCCTGGAAAAAAAGTTATTACCTCAAACACTCCAAGTCTCTGTTGATGTGTGACATGATCTATCCATAAAGACTGAAACACACAGTAAGACACAGGCTCCAGCTAAAACATTACAGGATCCCAGGTGCAGTCTGGGGAAGTCAAATACCTGCTTTTTACTAAGGGCTACCCTAGAATCAAAAGCACATGAAGCATCATTAACTGTGTTTTATTTTTAGAATGTAAATGAAGTATTTAAATTAGACTCCTAGAAACTGAGTGGGAACCCAATGAGGGTGGGCATGCTTTGGGTTGTGAAGTGAGCTCAGATCTTTGCAGAGGACCCAAGTCTGGCCCTCAGAAACCAGGCTTTACCAAGAAAGCCAGGTGTGGTGGCATGTGCATGAAATGCCAATACTAGTTACGGGAAGAGACGTGGGTGGATCCCTGAGACTCGCTTCCCAGCTAGGCTGGCCTATTTGGTGAGAATCACATGCCACTGAGAGAGATCCTGTCTCAGACAAGGTGGACAGCATCTGAGGAACGACCCTGGAGGCTAGAACAATTCCTGAGGATGGCCGTCACATGCGCGTATAGGTGTGCGTGTGTAAGTGCACATGCATGGGCTCGTGAACACCCCTCCTCAGCTCCTTCACCCGTGAACAGCTTATCACAGCTCTCACAGCAGAAAAATATACAGAAGGGTTCATTATGAGAAAACAAGGCTGTAACTGGAAACCAGATGCTCAGATAGACCCACACCATCTTCTGTTCTCTAACCGCACCGGTGGCCATCACTAATCTCCCTTCCTTATTGTGGAGTCAGGACAACAACCCTTCCTTGCGCCAACCACTCAGGATGTGTGGACACCACGTGGAGAAGGCACCCAGGCACAGCCCTGACTCACATTTCACCAGGAAATGTAGAAGGGAAAGTAAGAGGGGGTTGGATTTTCTGCAATGATACTAGGGCTGGAGAGATGACTCAGCATTTATGAGCTCCTCGCATCCTCCCAGAGTACCCAGGTTCGGTTCCCAGCACCCACATGGCAACTGGCAACCAGTCTCCGGGAATCCGATGCTCTCTTCCGGCTCCCAAGGTATCAGGCGTGCACATGGTACAGACATACATATGATCCATATGAAATGAAATAAAACATGAGATACTGCCCGTTTACTGAAAGACAATAAATGACTTCAAGAGCCCTGTTGTCCAGAGGAGCAGTGATTTCCCCACCCCACAAATCCAGTTTGTTCTAAAACCAAGTAGACACAAGAATTATGTTTGTTTAGCCCCAACTACCCATTGGCCTTCAACCTACCTTACCCTCATTTAGCCATCTGGAATTGTAATTCTTGCCAGCGTGGCCCTAAAAGCCTTGGGAAATTCATTTTTCAAAATCAAGTAAAAATACGATACAAATATAAGGGTTTGCAGCCAGGCTGGTGCACTGGTATTCTAAGTACTCGGAAGACTGAGGCAGGAGGATTTCAAAGTTCACACCAGCCTAGGTTGGAGGGGGGAGAGGGGACGAAGAGACAGAGATGGAAAAAAAGAGATTGCACTAGAATCAGTGAGAACAGTAGTGGCAGAGAGAGCAGGCTGTCTGTCCTAACCTCAACATACCTATGTGTCTTCTTTCGCTTTAAAAACATATAGTTCAGTAGGCGTGTATGAATAAATGGACAGTCTAACAGACAGCAGAGGAAGTCCAAGACATTTATACACCATACACCTACAGCCACAAAATCTCAAAGTCCATCAACAACAGCAAGTGTAACTGAGTGGTCATCTGAAAATGGTAAAATAAAATCCATACCTCACAGGATATGCAGGATAAATTCCAATTGGATTAATACAAAATGTAAGAATGCAATGCATAGAACTATAGGTTACTATTAGAAACACAGGAAAGGGGGGTCTCACTACATATCCCAGATGGACTTCAGTCTCCTGATCCTACTGCCTCAGTCTTCTGAATGCTAAATTTAGAAGCAAATACCATCATCAAAGGCCTGGGTCAAAAGGCTACCTGGCCCCACCCCCTAAAATATTCTTGCAATTTATAACATTAAAAAAAGAAATGCCTGGTTATGAAAACATCTACTAAAGGAAATCATCAATAGTTGAATAGAAGAACTGGCAGAGGCTGCAGGAGGACAGACCATATAGAGGAATATAAACGGTGATGCCCGGCTCAGGAGGGTTCAGGCTGGACCAAGGCAGGTCAGGAGTCTGGGGCATGCCAATCAGTCAACACCTCCTCAGCTTCGTATCCCAGGCACCTCACTCACTCCATCCTAGCCCAGGTTCTCAGTGGTCCTTAAAGGTGTGAAGACATACTACCCCACCCAAAGTGAGACAGAGAGAAACAAAACTGACCAGAGGCACCATTGTTCATTTATTAGACTTGCAAAGCTCCAATCGGACGTGAAAAACGGCCTCACTTGGTGGTAGGAATGTCAGTCACTCCAGGGAGCAATTTGCCATGCACCAGCTATTAAATTTGCAAATCCACATATATCCATCCATTTTTAAAAGAAAATTTATTTTATTTGTATGTGTGTTCACATATGTGCACACACACATGTGATGCAAGTGTGGGTGTGCACAGAGACTAGAAGGGGTTGGATCCCCTGAGCTGGAATTATAGGCAGTGAGGAGTCATATAATATGCATACTGGGTACCAAACTCTGGAGCAGTGCTCTTAACTGCTGAGCCATCGCTCCTTCCAGCCCAATAGATGTAGACACCATTTTGTTGAGAGTTTGTCAGTTACTTGTAAACATGTAAAGGAACCCACAGGTTACCAGTAGAAAACATGTGTTGTTTTTGCAGGAACAAGTACAGGGACCCAAAGGAAGTGTGGTACTTCTCCTGGGCTGGCCAGGGTTTGCCAGCTTCACACAAGCTGAAGTCATCTAGAAAAACAACCTCAACAGAGAAACTGCTTCTGTCACATGGGCCTGTGGGCAAGCCTGTTGGACATTTTCTTGATTAGTGATTGATGTGGGAGGGCCCAGTTCAATGTGAGCAGAGCCACCCCTAGGCAGATAGTACTGATGTATATAATAAAGCAAACTGAACACCCCATGGGGAGCAAGTGAGTAAGGAGCAGTCCTCCATGCCCTCTGCTTCAGTTTCTGCTCCCAGACTCCTGCCTTGAGTTCCCGCTCTGATTTCCATTCATGCCGGACTACAACTATGGGTTGAAATAAACCTTCCTCCCGCAAGTTGCTTTTGGTCATGGTGTTTTTCACAGTACCCATTAGCCACTTAGTCTGAACACCTTGCATGGGCTATCCAGAGACTGCATAGGTCTCTGAACCCCTGATATTTTATGCCATGCCTTGGGGACAGTGCCTATAGGTGTGACAGTATCAAATGAGCATTGTGTAGCTGTTCAGCTCCCATACCAGGATAGATGGTAGCATGGTGCCAACCTGTGCTTGGTTTAGGGGCAGGGCCTCCTTGGAGGTCCACCTCCCCCCTTTTCTAGTACTAAGTGACAGGTACCAATTCAGATAGAGCATTGCAAGACCTCATCTCTTTAAAAAGCCATGGGAAAAGGCCATGAACCTTGATCTCTCTAGTGTACTCTAACCTAGGAGGGGCCATCATGACCACACAGGAAGCTCTGGACATCCTGTCCCCAATCTTACCCACAGACCTGTTTTCATTTTGGATATCCAGAATGACCTCATAGTCTATTGCTGGCTCATTATATCACCCTGTTACCAGGGGAGTCTGTCAAGACCTAGACAATGACTAAAGCTAGCACATGTGCAGGAAGATGTAGGGGCCTCCTTACCTAAGGGTAGCCCCATCAAGAGACCAGATTAATTATTAGCAGTGAGCAGGGGTGAGCACATACCAGGTGCCTCAACATCTGCCAGCCCCTGAGCACCTCATTTGACCCAGGGCTCCCCATCCTGGCAGCTGGAGGTCAAGGGTACTGCCTCCACTTGTCACCTGGACCCTGTGTTCCTCAGACACCTCCCGGTGACACTTCACTTAATGAGGCTTTTCCACAATCATTCATGTTTTCAGGACCCTGGTAATTGCCAAGAACTCATTCAACTATGTAATTCTTTTGCCACTCAACTGACTTTTTATTACTTTCTCTGCTAGGCTTCAAGCTTAGTGTGGTAGGAACCGTGTTAGTCTTTTCCATTGTTTTGGTGCCAAAGTCTAGCCCCAGTGTGTGGCAGGGATCTGCTGGCTGTTGAATGGATAATTATGTGTAGTAATGAAGATAACTGTGAATTATTTGTGATACCCAGTAGACAAAGAGATGGGAGGCGACTGAAGAAGACGACCACTGTGTCTTACATGACTGAGATAGCTGGGCCTCTTGGTTACAATAGCCCTTTGTTGTTAGAAATCATGTAAGCGGCAGACTCAATGTTCCTGTTGTATCTGTGACTAAGCCATCAGAGTTCTTCCCCATACACGTGTACCACGGAAGGGTCTGTACCCTCAAGAGACTTGGACTTCAATTTAATATTTTTTGCACTATCATTGTACTTCCCTACTCGTGGTGTGTTTCCCAAAAGATCATAAGAGGAAATCCCCTAAAAGAGATATCCTGTCCATCATGATTTGGGAAGGCAAAAGGTCACCTTTTGCCATGAACACACAACCTGCCACATGAATGTTCATGAAAGATTCCTTAACATTCAGGGCACGGAACTCACTGGGTTGTTTTCCAGATTTTCTTTTGAGTGTTTTCTTTGCTCAGTGAACTTCTGCTCATGTCTCTAGACTGCTCAGTGAACTTCTGCTCTGTCTATGTCTCTAGACTGAGTTCTTTACTTCAAGAAGACAAAACCCAAGAGACACCTGTAATGTCCATGTATACATGTGTGTATGTGCGCATAAGTAAAATCAAGCATATATTAGTCAAGAGATCAAGACAGATTTAATATGTTAGGAGGTTGTCCGAGTGGTTAAAAGTGAAAGGAAGAATACCTAATAGAAAAGAAATATATAACTAGGGAAATTTATCAGATTTATGTTCAGTTTCAGCTTTAAAACTTTTCAAGGCAGATTGCCACAGGCAATGCCTCATTTCCTTGTTTGAAGGTTCTAGCAGGGGAGTAGAGCTACTCTTGTACTCTTGACCAAAGAAAGTTTTTCTCTCTCGGGGTAGGCCACCCCTTAGACTGCATAGGAAGCTTTAGGGGGGTTCATACCACAGGGGCAGTGACAGGGAAAGGAGGCACCTGCTAGCCAGCTAGATCAGTCTGTGGCCAGGTCCACTCACATCACTCAGATTTTAGGGGCCCTGGGAACAAAGCAAGGGCTGCAAAGTTACAGTCCTCTATTGACCATACTCTTGGTCTTTTCAGGAGAGGCTTACCAACAACTCCGCAGTTTGCTTATTCACTTATATATTTAAGAATATTTATTGAGTCACTTTAGAAAATTAGCAGTTGAAGATAACATATATGCAATCATGTATAACAGATAGAACATGAGACACTTAATCTCAGAGTGGTGGGTTCATGCCCCACGTTGGGTGCCAATTTGTAGCACAAATAATAAAATCTCAGATAGTGGGGTTCAAGATGAAGATCAGAGAAGCAAAGCAGCCAACCACTAGCTCTTACCTCTACCTCAGACCAAAATGGGTGATTCTGTCTCCACCAATCCTCAAAGACAATGTTCTCCAAGAATTCTCGGAGGCAAATGCCTGAAGTTCCTATCTCCTCCTGTCTTATATCCTCGAGGCCTCCATCTAGCCATATCACTCCTGTCTCCACTTCCCTAGCACTGGGATTAAAGGTATCCTAGCACTGGGATTAAAGGTATTTGATCCCAAGTGCTGAGGTTAAAGGACTGATTCACTTTTGTTTAGCCCAGGGTGGTCTTGCTCATGGAGATCATTTACCTCTGTCTCCCAAGTGCTGGGATTAAAGGTGTGTACCCCCATTGCCTGGCTTTATGGCTGTGACTAGCTTTGCATTTTGATCTCCAGTGGCTTTATTAAAGTATAAATAATATATCACAACAATCATGTCTCTCTCTCACACACACACATACACACACATACACTACATACAATTGTCTTCCTGGTTTAGGCACTCAGCCACTGTTAACATAACATGATGAGCTTTTAATAGTCACCAGCACACGGTACCATTAGAATGATTTGCTGGAACAGCAAGCAGAGTCCTCAAGTGGGGCAGATGGACTTATTATTCAAGTAAATGAGAAGTCTTCCATCCTGTCTCAAGGCTGAATCATGCAACTGTCTAGAACAGATTACCTAATTCAATCAGTCAAGTGTAATTCTAAGCAGAGTCTCAATGAGGCTGGCTAGATGACTCAATGGGTAAAAGCTGCTTCCTGCCAAACCTTTTGATTTGAGTTCAATCCTCCAGAAACTACAAGGTAGATAGAGGGAACAGATTACTCCAAGTTGTCCTCTGACCTCTAAATGTATGCCAATATACATACTCAAAAAATAAAGTGTGTGTGTATGTTAAGCAGAATACACAAAACAAAGCTGGTAAGCAAAAGAGAAGAAACAATTAAGAGAAAATGGGCAAAGAAATGGCTGTGCACCTATTAGCCCCAGGGCTGGGGAGTCAGAGATATGTGGACAACTGGAGCCTCCTAGCCAGTCAGCTTAGCCTTATCAATCAGTAAGCTCCAGGTTAAGGGACAGACCCTGTCTCAAAAACAAAGGCAGAGATCAACTAAAAAAGGTAAGTTTGTCAACCTCTGCCATGAGCAAGTAACACACACACACACACACACACACACACACACACACACACACACACACACAAATACAGATACAGCCAGCACGGGGCTTGGCACATGGCAAACCTCAGAAGGCTTTTTGTGGGCTTGCAGTGGTGCCAACACTTGCCCTGTTGTGATCTTGAAGCAGTCTGTTCTTTCCAGAGCACCTACTCCTGGGCTGTTTGTGTTGTACACTGTGTAAAGGTGTGTCTGTTTAACCTCACCTGCCTAAGACACCTTCTGATTGGTTAGGCAAGAGAGGATAGGTGGGGCTTCCAGGGAGAGATGGGAACTCTGAAAGAATCTGAGGTGCAAAAGATTTGCCAGCTAACCAGGTAGGAAGTCGGACATATGGAGCTGAGAGGAGGTAGCAAGCCACATAGCAGAATATAGATTAATACAAAGGACTTAATTTAAGTTGTAAAAGCTAGTTGGGAACAAGTCTAAGCTAAGGCCAAGCTTTTATAACTAATAAAAACTCTCTGTGTCGTTATTCAGGAGCTGGCAGTCCAAAGAAAGACCTGTCACTGGTTTGGCTCCTTGAAAAACATTCCATTCACATCAGATATCAAGGAGAGGCTCCATCTTTCTCAAGTTCCTTCACTCCATCGAAGACACCCACACTGCATTTAGGAAATTCTCTTACATTTTATTTGAAACTCTCTCATCAACACAGCTCGGAACAGCACTGATGGATGTGTCTTCTCTGCAGATTAACATCATGATGTAATTCTGGAAACTAAGAATGCAGGAATCTTTGTGACAATGGGATGCCAAGGCTAAGCTCTACAGTAAAGCCCATTCATCCCAGCAGGGAATCCTCTTTTAACAGAGAAGTTTCTAAGCCATTGGGGGTGGGGCACTGGAGAGACGGCTCAGTGGGTAAGGCACCTGCTATGCAAGCAGGAATAGCAGTCCAAATCTGGATTCTCAGCATCCACACAAAGCCAGATGTGGAAGTACAGTGCTCCTATCGTGAGATGGGAGATGGAGACAGCAGAATCCCAGGAAGCTTGGGCCAACGGGGCTGGAATGCCAGAAGAACAAGAGACCCTGTCTCCAAACAAGATAGAAAGTAAGGACTGACACCCAAGGCTGTTCTCTGACCTCTGCAGGGTCCAGGGCAAGTTAGTACACACTTGCCACTTTGCTACAGTCCTGTCAAGGCTCAAGTAGGCCTAAGTTATCAGTTTACCCTAAAGCAACACCTGACTCCAGGGAAAGAGCACAGACTGAGACCACCCAGGCAGCACCCAGGAAGGACCAGCTAAGGAGGAAGCACCAAAAGAAATTCCCAATGTTTCAACCATTGTAGATAGGATCACCTGATGTCCGATAGCCTAGCACATACCCATCCCATTTCACCAAGACAACCCTAGACAAATGTCAGCCAATCAGGGTCTTGAACCCTGAAAATCCCCTCACTCCCAACCTCTACTATGATAAAAACAAAAAAACTCTACACCACCCAGGTTGGGCACTCTCTGCTCTCAACCACTTTGTCAGCTCGAACTTGAATAAAGGCTCTTTGCTTTCACATATGAGATTTGGTCTCCTTGTTGGTTTTGGTGGGACTCCGCAATCGGGGCATAACAACCTCCACATATATGCTGTGGAAGAGGCATACATCTGCATTTATACACATGAATATAAATACACACATGAATATATATACATATATATATGGGTTGTGCTTTTGTTTTCTGTTTTAGAAGGTGATGAGGGAGGCAGTTGTACACAAAGATATATAAGCCATACTTTCTTAGCTCTGATATTAAGCACACAGAAACTTACATTCAAAAACATTATAGCTGAAGGGCTTCTCCTTTGATGAAAGTCAATCCTGCCAGCTATAGAGCACTAACTGAGATAGCTCTGTAGCCTGTTTTGCATGGGCGACAATCAGCCCTTAGCTCAAACATACATCTATAGATGAAAGGAGGTAGAAGCTCAGGTAGAGACACATGGTTGTGAAGCCTGCTCTCTCTTGTATACGATGCATGCTTTTAACTAACTGGCACTTTCTGTCTCCATGAAGCATCCCACTCAATGTGGGGTTGGAAGTTTGTAGAGTAGATTTCAGGCTAAGGAGAGGGAAAACTTCCTGTTTAAAACCCATCTTCTGCTATAAAAGGCACTCAACAACCTTCTTTTAGAAGCTTGCCTCACACGGGGGAGGCAGGACAAAATACACCATTCTTAAAATGCCACCCCACACTGGCTCTATCCGTTTCCAGCTAAGACAGCCATGCCCTTTCTACAACCCCAACTTCACAGGTGGGGAAGGAGCACCAGACCGCACCAGGAAAGACTGTCAAGTGTCAAAGTCTCTATGAAGCATGCAGCGTGAATCACTTAATGACTGAAAAGCTAGCATAACACAGCGCTGCTCTCAGAGACCAAACGCACTGAGCTGAGAAGGTGGCCATCTCTGGCCTGGAAAAGCTGAGAAGGTGGCCATCTCTGGCCTGGAAAAGCATCAGTCACAGGTTACATACCCACACCACAGACTCCCGAGTCCAGTGGCACTTACCTTGCACTGTCCGGACACACAGATGGCCGTGCCATTCTGATCACAGGGGGTGCCATCAATGACCTTCTCAGCTTGTCGTACATAGAAGCGGTACCCGGTCGCTTGGCAGTTCAACTCACACTTACGATTACCCTTTACTATCAAAAGAACAAAGGACAAAGACGAGGTATGAGTGACCTCACCTCTGGAGAATCAGCCCTCACCCTTCCACCTATAATTTTTTTTTCAGGGATATCAGCCTTTATTTATTTTTTTTTAATTTTATTTTCCAGTTTAAACTGAGGTAAGAAACAAGGTTGCTTCACAAGTCAGTTCCAGGTCCCTCTCCCATTCCCTCCCTTCCTCCCGTGTCCTCCCCCCAACCCCCCCCTTATCCCCTCATTTCCCCAGGGAGGGTGAGGCCCTCCATGGGGGTGTGCATAGTCTGTCATTTCATATAGGGCAGGGCCCAGACCCTTCCCCAAGAGTTCAGGGTGAGAGTGCATCTCACATTGTTCTTTGGGAGTCCAAAGTCCGTGTGTATACTTGGAATGGGTACTGATCTGCTGCCCAAGGCTCAATAGATTCCCTAGGCCTCAACAATTAATAAATGGGACCTACTGAAACTGAGAAGCTTCTGTAAGGCAAAGGACACAGTCAGCAAGACAAAAAGGCAGCCCACAGAATGGGAAAAAATATTCACTAATCCCACATCTGACAGAGGGTTGATCTCCAAAATTTACAAAGAACTCAAGAAGCAAGTCTCCAAAACACCAAAGGACCCTATTAAAAAGTGGGCTGCAGAACTAAATAGAGAGTTTTCAATAGAGGAGTCTAAAATGGCTGAGAGGCACTTGAGAAAGTGCTCAACATCCTTAGCCATCCGGGAAATGCAAATCAAAACAACTCTGAGATACCATCTCACTCCTGTCAGAATGGCTAAAATCAAAAACACCAATGACAATTTATGCTGGAGAGGATGTGGTGAAAGGGGGACACTCCTCCATTCTGGTGGGAGTGCCAACTGGTTCAGCCACTTTGGAAATCAGTATGGAGATTCCTCAGAAAAATGGGAATAAACCTACCACAAGACCCAGCAACTCCACCTATAATTTTTAAGGAGATAAACTTCACATAACATAAGATTAACTGTTTTGACCAATGTGAATTAGTATATTCAGAAGGTTGTACAACCAATTGCCAAAATCAAATTTCAAAACACCTCTATTACCCCAAAAAGGAGCCTCATGCCTGCTATCTGCCTCTTCAGTTCCTCCTTCCTCCAGAGCCTGGCAGCCACCAATTTACTTTCTGTCTGTTCTCACTCACTTCTGTTTCTGAGAAAACCAACAGACCTCAGGAATTTGACAGTCTGGGGAAGGCACTGTACCTTCATCTACTGGTGTGTAGCAGAGATTCGACGCTTACAGAAGATGGTAAAGGACTTTTCAAATGTCTCATCATTATAAATAAAGATTCTACTTTTACACACTGCCATGCTTTTTATTGTTGCTACATTCTATGAATTGGCAGTTTTAGTGAGCATATAACTTTGAGCTTTACCATGCTTTTTCTTATGACTTAAAAGCTTCATGGGAGACTGGGAACGTGACTAGGGATATGATCATTTGGTCGAATTCTTGCCTAGCAAGCATGAGGCCCTGGGTTTGATCCCAGCATGGCATAAGTAGGACATACTGGTGCATCGCTGTCATCTCACCACTCCCAAGTTAGAAATTCAAGGTCACCTCCATGCTTACACAGTATGCTGGTTAGGGTCACCTGAGAGGAGGGATCCTCATCTGAGAAAATGCCTTCACCAGATTGCCTATAGGTCAGTCAGTGGGGCCTTTTATTTTCTGATTGACGACTGAAGAGGAAGAACCCGGAAGTGTGAGCAGGTGGTCCTGGAGTGTAAGAAAGGCAGCTGCATGTGATCTGGACAGCAAGCCAGTAAGCAGCGTCTCTCCATGGTCTCTGCTTCAGTTCCTGTCCGGAGTTTCTGTTGCCTTCAGCATGGAGTGTAAGCTAAAAGATAAAATAACCCCTTCCTCCTCAGGTTGCTTTTGAGCATAGACTTTATTACTGGAAGCAAACCAGGACACATAGTGAGTTTGAAGACTGCTTGGGTCATGGGAAGTCCTGTCTCTAAAACAAACAAAAGAGACCTACATGGTTGTGCCATTTTTTGCACTCTCAAAGTTTATTTATTTATTTGTTTGTTTATATGCACAGGTGTACATACAGGCACACGCCTTTCCAAAGTGACATAACTGGGGAGAAGACCTAGCCTAGATGTGGGGGGCATCACCTCCTGGGCCGAGGCCCTGGACTGGATATGAAAGAACAAAAGGGAAAAATGAGCTGAGTATCCTCCTTCTCTCTCTGTGTCCTGACTGGGGACACCATGTCACCAGCTGCTTCACACTCTTCCCCACAATGGTCAACTACACCCCCAAGCAATCAGCAAGAACAAAATGGCCCCTTCCTACATTGCTTTTGTCACATATTTTTGAAACAGCACAAGGAAAATAATTAACACATGCTTTCTTGTCTCTTCTCATCGGCCACCTATCAACTGTGTTTTTGTACCTTAGACACTTTATATTTTTTTCATTTTACACAGGGCCTGGTACACAATAGGTGCTCAATGTGTGCTAGCTATGTAATGAAAAGCAATCTAGTTGTTGACAAAAGAAAAAAGTATGCTTAGGCAAAATGTATTTCATATCTAAAAGAAACAGACAAGCCAAGTACGCATTGATTTAAAACCTGTTTTTGAAGATAACATAATTTCTATACTTAGCCATAGACAGCACATTCAGGGTCATACCTCTGTCTAAAAGCCAGATTACTGGATCTGGTAATACTGACTTTTTCCTACACAACACAATGCATCATATTTTCCCTAGAGAGGCTGCCTGCCTGTCACAGCAATGAACTTACTTTTGTCTCACAGCCATTGGATCCCACTAACAGGAAAGGACAGGGAGGCTCTGGGACCACAGGGTTCAGGGAAGATTGAATTCTTTGTGAGCACTAGGTTGTAGTTTACAAGCTCAGAGACTGCTTTCCTGCTTGGCCACATGACAACAGAATGGGTGATCTGGGAAAACTAACCCCACGGAATACTGAATACCAAGATGGACACATCTTTGGGAATTGCCCCTAAACCAAATTATTTTATTGGTTTAAGACATTTAGGGGTTGAGAGGACACTGGCAGGTGTGAGGCACTGGGTTCTAGATAGAAACCTGAAGCGGGGGTTGGTGGGTAGAGGTAAGAGAATACAAGCCTGAGCAAGACTCATCACATGAACATTATGAGTGCAGTGACCATAGTGGCCAAAGGGGATGTCAGATCCCTTGTAGCTGGAATTAGAGGCAGTTGTGAGCTACCTCACGTGTGCTAGGAGCAAACTCAGGTCCTCTGCAAGAACAGTATGCACTCAGATGCTCTGAGCCTTCTCTCCAGCCTCTTACTTTATTCCTTTCTTCTGGGTCCTCACTCTGTGATGGGCTAGCCAGGACTGTCCAGGTGCACTGCATTTTTTTTCTGAGATACGTTTCTCTGTGTAGCCCTGGCTGTCCTGGAACTTACTGTGTAGACCAGGCTGGCCTCAAAATCAGAGATTTGCCTGCCTCTACTTCCTGAGTACTGGAATTAAAGGCGTGTACCTCCATACATACCAGGTACAATTTTATTTCTTGGTATTTGCAACCACAATATAAAAAGCTTCTTGGAGAATGTCCTGGTTAGTTTTATACCAACTTGACACAAGCTAGAGTTATCTGAAAGAAGAGAAACTCAACTGGAAAAATTCCTCCATAAGATCTGGAGATAAGGCATTTTCTTAATTAGTTATTAGTAGGAAAGGGTCTAGCCCATGGTCTCTGTTGCCATCCCTGGGATGGTGGTCCTGGATTCTTTAAGAAAGCAGGCTGCCGCCGGGTGTTGGTGGTGCATTCAGGAGGCAGAGGCAGGCTGATCTTTGTGAGTTGGAGGCTAGCCTGGTCTACAGAGTGAG